TTATCACGATTTTTATTGCCGACATTGTCAGTATCAAGTTCATTGTTGCGAGTGGAAAGTTGTAGTTGTGAAATCCTGACGCTATAATTAAGCCTGTCAAAGTTTCTATTCCGAGTAATATTGGCTATAAACTTTAAATTCTCTGGTGTAGCAACTTGTTAATTAGAGATGTGTTATGTCTCAAAGTGACAGCCGATTATATGACAGTGACTTATCGACCGGACCAAGGATTCAGAATCTCGATAGTTTATTCTGGTCCGTTGTCCCCAACTCTGCTAACTCGATCAAGAAGTCTTGGTAAGGCGTAAAAAGTATATTCTACAAGCAACAGCAGATACCAAGTCAGGCAGGCAGATCAGATCAAGCATACAAGTCAAGCGTATTTATACAAATATATATCGATTTTGTCATAGGAAATTTTTAAACAATAATTAATGAGTCATCAATGGTATGCTATTTAAAAATTCAATCGATAAGTTCATCAACTGACTGCCATTCAAATATTTAAACATTTAATCGATGTGACAAAATTACAAAATATGAGTTTTGGGGATATGTCGTCCCCAACAAGATGATAAATATTCAATCCTTGATTGTGAATTTATCATCACCGATTTTAGACCGTTTATCCTGGTTCTAGAAAACTTAATAATGCTCTAGGGACTGTTTTTTTCACTGACCACTGAAGATGGTTCAAAAAAAGTACTTGACAACTTTCTCACTACAGAATCGAAGCGATAAAAATTACACACGACTCCAAAGTCCCCTCATTTTCATTTCGGAGCAATAAATTTCAATACCTTGAAAACAAACGTCAATTTTACCGCTACTGTAGTTAAGAGACCCCGAGAGGAGAGCAGATAAAGTCCTTCAGTGCAATATTACCAGTAGTATGCAAAAGAAGTTGATGATATTGCTTAAACAAAAATCTTTGTACAAGGACTCCTTTTACAAAATATACGAAAAGTTTGCTATAATTGATGAATAAATCTATGGTTCACATACCTGCCAGTCACAACAAGAAAATACGATACAAGGACACAGGTGAGTTTGTTCCGATTTTTATTGTTAACTTTAAAACTAATGAGACCATACAGAGTCTACATCAAATACAAAGTCGGAAAAACACATGATAAATCTTAAGTGGTAAGGCAGTCGCAAGAATAGTAAGATTTTATCAGAAGAGCTACAATCTTTTCTGAAACGATAGCCGCATCACATACTTCCTCCCAATTAGATTTCCCTCACGAACTTTGCCCCGTGATTGGCTGTCATATTTTTCTATAGTTCGCTAAATTGCTACATGCTCGAAGGTCATATTCTGCTACTATAATAATAACTTTTGTACCAATTTCGTTTGAGTTGCTTGTTCTACCATAAATATCAAGTTACCTGCAATTCCATCTTCCTGTCCTTGCCATGGAGGTTTGGTATGTTGAGCATAATCGACTGTTGTCAATTCCGAAGAGCACCAATTGTATTAGAGATGCTCAATCACTTTTGTTCCTAAATCTGTAATATCTTAATCTTCCTATCTTGAGGAAGCGGCTTTTGCAAAACGGATACAATTTTCTCCGAAATAGGGAAACTACGATCGTAGGCCGTACTAAACACAAGACACAACATAAGGAGAAGTATAATCTTTTATAGGAGTTTGGATTTTCATTTAAGCTGTGGAGGATGTGATTTTTGTACACACTAATAAGTCCTTTGTATTTGATTCCCCATCTTGTTACGAATTCCAAATACAGTACGTTCATTTGTGTTCATCTACTTCCATGTTGTTTTAAATCGACCATAATAATACGAAATGATTTCATAATGCGTACTTTGAATTCTCGATTGTATCTTATCAACGTTTTAGATGTATTGCAATTGGTACTATTTCGTTATATTATTTCAAACTCAGAATTTCTAACGTTTAAAGAGCCACCCATAGATTTTATGAAGTGCAGCTTTATGATAATTAGATGTATTCAAATTATTGTGCTAACTAAGAATTCCAGGAATAGTGCAATTCAAGGCAGGTGAAACTAGATGAACACAACTGGACGTATCATATTAGCATTTCGTAATAAGCACGCAATCAAGCATAAAGGAATCATCATTTAGGACGAATATCACAATTCTACCAAAATACATTGAGAATTTCCAGGTTGATAAGTGAATATTCTAACAGATCAACCCACAGAACGTGAGGCAAAGAAAAGATTAATTTTAAAAACTTGTTTATTACAAAACCAAATGAGCAATCAGAATTTTTCTATAAACAGTTATTAATGCTACCAAAGAAATTCTGAAGACATGAAGTTGGGTGCAGCCCTTATGACAAAAAAGCTCACATTCGGACGTCTGCATGTACACGTCCGAAATACTCACAGTAGTTAATAACCAACTGTATATTTGCTTAGGTATCTTCTACGCGGTTAGTTAATCAGTCCTTTTTAAACATATAGCCTAAACTTGACTCCAAACTGACATACAACCCTCCACTTAATTTCGCACACAATAATTCAGCAAACCCCATTGTGCAGCGACGGTATGAAAATCCAAAACCGAATCACACTGAAAAAGCATGTGTGAGGAGCATGAAATTGCATGGAACTGACAGACGCAGATCGGAAGGTTATTGAACTGACACACAATCTAACCAAGTGTGATTCACATTATACTTGGAAAATGGATAGTCAATAAAACATGCAGACGTATTCTAACGTTCATAGGAAACGTATAATGTAACTTAATAAAGTCAGAATGATGCATGAATGTACTCTTGGATAGGCCATAAAACACTTGGATTAGAACGGCACGTTAAATAGTTTGTGCTGCATCATCACCCAGAATAACTAAATTATGACCCGTGTGTCGTATGGTTTGTCTGATTTTTTACAACATTTTAATGAGGGTGAATTTATATGGGGTTTGCAAAACGTTACTACAAACATATTCTCCGAGCTTAGCTCAAATCGGTCTTTAGGTCGCAGAATTTTGGTTGAAATAAAGCGTAAATGATCAACAGAGCGTGATTGAAGTTCAGGTACTCACTAAAAAAAGACCTGTTAGAAAGCCGGCGAAACAAAAAGGAAATCTATATACAAACACCCATTTGGTAGCACATTAGGTACGAACGTAAAAGTTCATTTGTCGCGGGAAATCTGTTTACTGCTTAGTAAAATCGTCTAATAAACAACAGTAACGCACATAAACTGTTTAGCAGTTTTCAAGCATTAAAGGTAAACTGGTACCAGTAAGAGACTGAAACGGGTTAAACTACATGCTTCTAGTTTTGAACCCAAGAGTGTTTTAATCCAAAGTTAGTGTTATTGATCAGTTATCTATCGCTTTACGTAGTAAATCCAAATGCATTGGACTCACTCGCTCATCGACTCACTTTTTTTTGGTCTTCATTTTTCTAGCTCTCCTCACTCACGCTATTCTGCATGCTCCCCTAGTATACAAAGTAACTTCAGGCTAGATGCGAACCTCCACATAGACTATGCTGAATGTTCGACTTCATCAATAGAAGTTTATTTTGTCGTGAAGCCTCGAGTCAGCCAACCAAAACCGATATCTCCCATTTGTAAGATATTAAGAGCCAGATAACATTTATGAAAAACGAATCGAAACTCCTAAGCAATCACTTATTGCAAACGTCCGAGTCTTTACCCATGAACTAAACCAACAACAGCATGAATAAGAATCTACATAATTAACTTAAGTACTGGACTGGTTTACCGTTAACAACAAAACGCTTAATACTTTGATGTTAGCAGCATTCCTGCAGCACAAATCTGCTAACCACAGTGAATAACTGGACCAATATTTTCCGATCTCAAGACATGTAACATATCCGTAACTATCAGGATAGAGCAGTGCGCATCAAGTGATGATTAGCTCCGAGAGTTAATTCTTGAAGTTCTAGTGGTAAGCCATGACTAGTAGAGTTCAGCCGTGTCGAGTGTGAGGCAATTACCCACCGAAGATAATGGAAGATAGTCACGCAATATCATAGACATTAACACCATTGCATACCGGCTTAGTGGCCTAGAGGTTAAGGGTTTACGCACGAGATCGAAGATCCTGTGCTGGAGTCCCGCGTGTGGGACTGTGGATGGGCACTGCTGACGAGTCTCATGATAGAACAAAACAGCCGTCTAGTGCTTCCAGGTTTTCAATGGTGGTCTAACATTGATCGGTTCATGATCTTAATTAAATATTCGTAATTATCGAAAGCCTACCATCAGGTCAATCAAGTGTGTTTTATCAACAAGCTCAAATAGATAGGTGATTAGTCACCGTTGATCTACTGGTTCATTGTGAATTATTCGTTTGCTCAAGATACGTTATACCTTGATGAACCCCTTCAAGACTACGATGCTAAAAACTCTGTTAATTTAGATTTATATACACAATCTTCCATATTAGATCACTACCCAATCTAAGCAATATTGTTTCGATTAACCAGTTAAACAAAACATTTCAATTCCACTGTCAACATAAATGAAAACAACAACACAAGATGTGATAATTTGTACAATCCCTTGAATAATTCACTTGATATTGTTTTACTTGAATCTTCCCATTGATGTTTTAGGACTGAAATTGATCAATCTCTTATTAGCATATGTGCATACTGTGCGTATGCCTCGATATTGCCTTAATTTACAAGCATTTTAAGCAAAGATGGATAGTGGCTAGCAGTGGAGTTCGAGTCCCAGAGTGAACATCAACTCTGAGATGCAGGTACATCCAGCTGACGAGTCCCAAACAGGACGAAACGCCCGTCCTGGATTCCACTGTTAGCCACTATCCATCTTTGCTTAAATCCCTTGAATAATTATAACCATCCGATGTCAAGTATTAGGGAACTAATGTGTACATTATGTTGGTATTTCATTTACATTATTATTATTATTATTATTATTATTATTATTATTATTATTATTATTATTATTATTATTATTATTATTATTATTATTATTATTATTATTATTATTATTATTATTATTATTATTATTATTACTCATTAATCACCGTTTATATCAACTGAGCTGACATACACACACACACAATTCTCACTAGCAACAATAACACTTGACAATAAAAATTCAAAAAAAAGAAATTTGATCTCTAAATTGTTGAAAGGTATCATAAAAATGAGAACTAAACAAGGAACAAAAAAGAAAAGAGAACAACAAAAGAACTGAAAACAAAGTGATAAAACACTAACAAGGCAAATGATCATCAACATATACACAAACAAACAAACACGCACACACACATACAACTACACAAAATAAAGTCAAAATATTCAAATGAAATACTAAACACAAGTAAATAAGCATTACAAAAAGAAATACATTGGATTTAACAAGAAAAACAAACAAGCATAGAAATGTAAATTGGTACCATACCCATTATACAAACAGTTGAATAGATATAGATATAGATGTATCATGATAGAGTGAAATAACAGTTAATCAAATACTTACTCTATCATTATTTACCCTTCATGAAAGAATATAGGTCACCCATCAGATATGACAACTTGGACCGATGCATATATATATGTCTGGTCCTACGTTGTATCTGACTAACCAACTGATTGATTGATTGATTGATTGATCAGCATTCACCATCCATCTCTGTCGTTATTCGCAATCCTTTCCAATTGTATTAATACACATTGAAGTGAAGTGCAATTAATTCTTATTTTTGTTGTTGTTGTTGTTGTCGAGAAAACATGAAAATGTTTGTTTTTTTTTAGAAAAAAAAGTTTCATATGATCACAGACAAGCATTTCCCCCCTTCCGCCTCCCCTTCACACAAAAATACCCATATAGATTTGTTAATAGTAATAATAATAATAATTATTATTATTGTTAAATAACCTAGTATTATTATTATTATCTAGATCAGTTGTTAAGATATTCTGTAAAAACAAAGTCATCAAAATAAATTTTCCATGAATAAATGCAATGCTGAGAAAAATCTAGAAGAACCGAAAGAGAGATAGGCGGGGGGAGGGAAGGGAAGGGAGGTAGGGAGGAAGGTGAAAGGAGAAAACTGAAGTGAATACGAATAATTGGTGATGATTAAGGAAGTGAGGTGAAAAAAAACAAACAAACAAACAATGTAAGATATTAATCATTATAATTGTTTCATTGATACATAAGAGATTAAATGCTCTGGTAAAGGTAAACGATTTGCTTTAATTCTTAATGAATCAGCATAACCAAGTGCACGTTGTATAACTACACGACAAATATGTTTTAATGAATGTACATTACATTCTTCCCAACGTAACCATTGAGCTAATTCATCATCACCATGAATACATTCTTCAGGAATTATTCCATGTACTAATAACCAACGTGTAAAACTTGCTAAATTTACTGGATCACATCCATAATTTAATAATAGTTTTACCATAGGTATATCTAATTTAGGAAATTTAACTGCCATATGTAAAGGACCAAGACCTTCACGATCTACACGATTAACTGATGCACCAGCGTCTAATAATTTACGTGCTAATGCTAAATGTCCATGTAATACAGCAACATATAGTGGAGTTTTACCATTTTTATCAGCTGCATTAACATTAGCACCGGCTGTTAGTAGAAGATCGACAATTTCTGATCGTCCATGATAAGTAGCTACATACAGTGGAGTTTTTCGATGTGAATCCATTTGATCAACCTTTAAAGATAAATATGAGAAAATAAAAAGAAATTTTCCTACTTAATAAACAAATGGGATTTTAAGTATTCTATTAGACTAAAACTATAAATTGTATAAGCGTATTGTTATGTTGTGTGATGTCTGAGTTTAATATTGGTACACAAGCTTCATATACGCAAACGCAATCAGTTACTTAAGTGGGAATTAAGCTTTATTGATTAAGACTCCATCAAGATTAAATGTAAACTCTTTCATACATACATATGTATCTTTTTCCCTTAGCCACGTTTTCAAACAATGTCATATGTCTTGCTCCTAACAAAAAGAAGTCAAATCTTAACCAGTAAAACGAGCTTATCATCTGATATGTAACTAACTGGTAAAGAGTATCTTTTACACATACTGAAATGATGTCATCTCATAACAAAATAAGAAACTAGGCGCTAATCATGAAAGGAGAATATTTTGAGTTCGGTTCTTAGTGGAGTCCTGAATCTGTAATGCTGAACATTCCCATACTAAGATGAAACAGCTGTCCAGTAATCCCTAGTTTCTAACAGATTGTCTAAGGCGAGAATAGAACAAAATAACTCATTTAGAAAGTACGAAATTATTTACTTCGCTATCAGCTACACTTCGTGTGTAAGGCCACATAGAAGTAGGTCCAGTAAGACTCGAACTTGAGTCATATTGATTGGAATGTGGACGTCTTAACCACTACTAAGCCACTACCACTCTACGAGGAAAACCGAAACAATTAAGGAGGAAGAGTATAGTATACGGAATTTGTTAACTTTCATCTTAAACACTGTTTATTGGAACTAAATACAGATGTACAGTGAGACCTTCTGTATTCAAAGATAATTATGCTCAATTAAAATGTGTTAGCATTTCATGAAGTCAGTGATAATGAACCGAAACTCTACGTTGATAGGTGCAAACTACCTTATTATTGTGAGATAACTGTGATCAACTAATTGAAGACACTAAGTGTTATGGCTTAAAATTCACAGATTTATTCTTTAGCTTCACTTATCCCTAAGACATGGTTCAAAATCGTTTGCAATGGCGCAAATGCACCCACTCTTTGTGCTTTCCCAAATTATAATCTGAATTCTTCATGTCCCTTATTTTCTTTTCAAATTTATTTCACTGTATTATACTCCTTGAATAACATCTTCAAACCCTAATCTTTCCGATTACTGCTTATACTCTTATTACCTCTACCACTACGGAAATTGAGTCAACAACTGCATCTCTGTGCTAATGTGGTATGGCAACTCGAACCGATGTACGTACGCAGTTCTACGTTCTTACTGACTGACTGATCCCTAAGATCTCAAAAGTTGTAATATTTATTTCTACCTTTTTGTCACACAAATTCCTTCCTTCCTTTCGAACTAAATTTTCCATGTTTAGTACTTTTAAACTACCGTTGAAACCATTAAAATGTCGACTTCTTTTACATTATATTTTGTTGATTTCATCTTCTTGTGTCCATCTACAGTTGTATTAATCACAACGTTGATTACAGCTAACCGACTTTGAAATGGTAGAGATTTGTAGCTCAGGTGGATGATTTGGATAGAGTTTTGCTCTCTGACCAAACCATCCAACTCAGAGAACAAAACTTCATCAAAAGCTAACTGGTTAATAGTAAACCTTGACGTTTAGTCATAAAGAGGCCTGTACAATAAAAACAAAACAACCTTAAGAAGATTTATGATACAAAAAAAGACCAAACACTAGTTTTAACCAACCTCTTCAAAAAGTCCTACAATCGAAAATTCATTCGTAAAATTGTAATTCAGAAAAACAAAACCCATAAATCCGCCTAGAGCCCCTCTGGGGCTACTGCCGGTCCCAAGCCCGGATAAAGGAGTAGGGTTGGGCATGGGGTTAGCAACCCCATCCCGTAGAAAAATAGCTCGCTAAAAAAACGCTAACCATAAATATACCCACAAACATATAAATATGTGATTCTCTTCTAAAGAAAAAAAACGAACAAAAGAAACAACTAAGAAAGTGAGTTACCTGTGCACCATGACGTAATAAGGCATTGGTAATTTCCAAATAACCAAAATAAGCACTAATATATAAAGGGGATTTATTTTCTTTGTTAGTAATATGTATATCAGCTGAATGACATAATAAATAATTGACAACTTCACTATGTCCACGACATGCAGCGAGATAAATTAAAGTTCGACCATATTTATCCTGAAAGTAAAAACAGAATGGAAAAATCAATGAACAATGGGTTGGATCAATATTTTTTGAGATGGTTGGAAAAACTTGTAACTTATGAAGATGATTTTAATAGATTTGTTTTCAGTGAACCAGGCAATTCAATCAAGAAGTATTGATTCATTAATCCTTTAAGAATCATTACACATGAAAATGACTAACAGTTTGCACTGTTGATATGGAATGTTGCCACTGTCTATGTCACAATTGATTGATCACTGGGTGGTGATCAATGTCATGTGTTTCAAGTCCTTATTTAGTGCAGATCGAATGCTATCGATAATGTTGCAATGTGGCCACCAGTCTACGTACCTCGACATTGCCGGCACTATATATTGAGATTAGATGGTGGTTAGAGGTAGTCGACAGGAAACCCTGGACCCGGGTTTCGTGCTACTTGACACTCGTCAGCAAGGTGTACCTGTAATCTTGAGGGAACTAGTGCTCCCTGGCGGATTCGATCTCGTGTCACCCAGCTTCACAGTCAGAGACGTTACCACTGAGCTATCCGGGCCGCGACTGACCTCCTGTAGGACTGAGATGTAATCACAATTGATCGAATCCGCCAGGGAGCACCAGTTCCCTCAGGATTCTTTCAATACAAGATTTTCATGGTTTTCCAGTTGAACATGTGCCCACAACTGTGTGGATGAATTGATATAAGCAGAAATACATCGCGAGATTTGACAACCAATTAGTTTCTTTTACAGACAAAAAGAAACAAGTCAGCTGCTTTGTCCGATGTTATGTTCCACACGGTTGGAGAAGTTTATCATGCAGACGGTCTATTTTTAATTTTTATGTCATTACATCTTTCAATTTGTATAAAATTAATTGAAGTGATTTTGCTGATCTGTGAACAACGCTTATTGCTAATAGTCGGAATAAACTCGTTGGTAATTTCTGTTATATCATTCAAGAATCAGATCAAGAGAGGGAAAACAATCAAAATAAATACAAAAATAATGACAGAAATCCTGAACTGATAACGTTGTCTAGAAGGGCGATGAAAGTTACATGGTTAAACCCCTTATTTATTTATTTATTTAAACAAACATTGATACAAAGGGGCACCAAATACATATGCGCCACACTCAATCATTTGATTTGTGTAAGGGCTGGTATACTGCCCAGACGCCCAAAACGAAGTACGTGATTTCCCTAGAAAGTTACTTTCCAAGCTTTAGATCAAGAAGTCTAATTCATAAGACAGTAGACAAACGTTAGAAGATGCGGTCTCATGATAACTTGTAACCAACAATAGATTCGTGTGCCATTTGTTCCTTCAGGGTTCTGGAGCCCATATGTACCATGAGTTTGGACTCAGGACTTTCCAACTTCTCTAGGTGGATCTTTCATATCCACCAACCCGGTTAAACCACCGGGTGTTCGCTTTTCGTCCTCTCAGTTTCGTAAACAACACCTCCTTCGTGAGAAGGCAGTGATTAGGAATTCCCTGGCAGCGGCTGTATACACATGGCCATTTGAGAGCATTTTGAGAGAAAGATCGGATTGTCCCCACCATCGACCGTACCAAGGCATTTAGAGGTGAGTGACTGATTTGTTCGGCGTTTCATACAAATTTTTTCATTTATAAACGTGAATAAAGAAAGAACAAATATCGTATCAGAAGGAACACTGTTCGAAAAACTTTATTCTTGTAACTTCTCTGGGTAATCTGCAACCAATTGCCTCTCAACAGTTCGACGGAGATAAGTCAAAGAGGTTACGAGAATAAAATGGTTCGATCAATACTTAACCTCCTCCTGCTACGATATTTGTTTTTTGATTATTTTTTCTTTGATCCATAGTTTTACAACTAACCATAAAAACATGAAAAGTCATAAACTTCAACCGAAATTACAGCTCAGTTAGTCGGAACGACGTCGAAATGACAAAAACGGTTATTTTTCGTTCTGATAAGTTTCCAAACCTTTGGTGGATGTATTTAATTTTTAGCTTCAAATAACGCTAATACATGTACACACTGATACATTCTTACACACAACGTACTTGAGTATTTATTAATTCAGGATTTGAAAGACGACTTGTAGTTAGTGGTGCAGATCCAACCATTGACGACTGGACATTTATGTTATTATTACTATTGTTAGTAGGACATATTGATCCCGGTGTATTTAATGATGATATAATTGATGTAGAAAGAAGACATGACAAACGAGCATTGGAACCATTCAATAGATTGTTCGTTTTTGAAATTGATGCAGACGTAGTGGCCATCGTCGTCGCCGTAGTAGTACAAATAGTTGTTGTGGTTGTCGTCGTCACATTATTACAAGATATTATTGGATGAACACGTTCCATAAGATAACGTACCATATTTAATGAGCCAACATAGCATGCATGATGTAAAGCGGTCATACCGACTTTATCAGTGAGCGAGAGATTTGAACCAGCATTCACTAAAGCTATCGCCATATTCAAACCACTTGAACCAGCTTCTGCTGCAATCATTAAAGGTGTCATACCTAAAATTAGGATTAGTCAATGAAGAAAAACATCAAAACAGTTCCTGTTTAAATGTAACGCATTTTCTTTTGTGTGTGCGGAGGTAGAAACAACTACAAGGCAACAATAAAGACCTTGTTGCAAATATACATTATATGCCATTCAAAAGACAAATTGTAGTTGATCCTGCACAGCTTAACTCTAACTGGAGCCCCTTGAAAACTATTTCTAATCCCAAGCTCGGATAAGGAACGAAGATTGTTGAGTGTAGGATTAGTAACCTAATACCGTAAAAAGAACACCGTTACAGAATAATCGTCAACCAAAGAAAATGAATTAAACTCTGTTCCGAGAAAAAGCCCATCTACGTAGCTTAGCAGACTTTTATTATTTTGTCTGCCGATTTGGTTAACTTGTAATTAGATCTACTATATAGGGAAGAGACTTCGTTTGTGAAAGAAAACCAACGTTGTTTTTCCCCAGCTGGTCTTGTGTTCATTCTATAGGGTATGAAAAGCCTACAACACGGAGGGTTAAATTTATACAAAAGAATTCCCCTTTGCTACGTTTAGATTAACTAAGTTGACAGAATGGGGAAGGTCTGATCTAAGGAGACTCCCATGAACATATGCTTAAGGAAATCCGATCCAAATTTTCCAAGTTAAAAATCTGAATAATTCGAGGATAACAATCTTAGCAAAATAATATGAATTCTTACAGATAACTGTTATCATACAGGTAGTATTCAGCTACAGTTTACTCCTTATTAGTACAGAGATTTATACCGATTGTTTATAATTATTGTATGACTTATTTTGAGAGGAAGTTTCCAAGGTTTTAGTAAAAGGTCGAGACCAACGGAGTCCAAACGTGTATAGTGTGATGACAGTGGTTAGGTAACATCGCGAATTGATAATATAAACCATTGATTTCTGGATCAGTAGTTTAGAGATAAGACTCTCGCCACGAGATTTTAGTGGCCCTGATTTCGATCTCCAGTGACGTCGTGGATGTGTACTACGGAAGAACCCCATAGCAGGGCGGAACACCAATTTGGTGTCTCTTAGTTTTTATTGGTTGTCTTCATTATGATAATCCTTAATTTTATATTCTGAACAAAATCTACATGTCCGGTTAAACAGTTCTAATCAAAGCCCATTCTGCAGCTTATTGGACAGAAGCTATCGAAGTTCCAGTATATAACCCACACTATGCGTCGTTTCAAAATAATTCAACCCACATAATTCCGCTACACTCATTATTCTCTTTTAGTAAAGCATCTCAATGGACTTGATTATGAATAACTCTCGACTAATTAGGATTACCCCTCAGATAAACATACAACAGTCGTGATAGGGGTTATCTAGTAGTTCATACTGTAACACTTTCATTAGGAACATGGTCGACTGTTCTATATTTTTTTCGGAGGACAGGAGTTAACAATGATTTCTTAGTTTTAATCTAGACTAATAATGTTGAATATATGCTTCTAAGATAACAATTTCACCTATTCAATGATAGACACTTCTCAATAAGACTACAAAACAGAATTTATAAACGGTTAGGATTAATACTTATTGATAGGGTCATTAGAAAAACAACACACAACGGCAAACGAAAAGAGAGATGTACAATCACAAAACATAGTTATTTACCAATCTTATCTGGTCGATCTATATCTAAACGTGGTCGTATTGTACCAGTATTCGACTGCTGACCATTTTTAAGATTGAGTGGGAGTTGTGTTGTTTGCGATGTTGGATTATTAACATTATTACTATTATTATTATTATTACTAGTATTGATGAGTGTAGTTTTACAAAGTATACGTTGAACTCGATCACAACTTTGCCACCAACGAGCCACATCTACAAATACAAAAGTGTAGAGAAAAAATAAACAAAACTTACCAGTAACAATTAAATTAACCTTTAAAAAGAAAAAAACAATTAATATCTACACTATTTGACGATTGATCGCGTGGATTCCAAATAAATTATCTGCGCATGCCGAAATGGCTTAGTCCGACAATCAGTGACTTCGGGGGCTAATGTCATGTCTTGGTTTATTCATTCCTAGTTTTTTTTACGACCTACTACTACACCAGCTAACATCGTTCATTGAGGAAGACAATGGTTGGGCATACGTATTACACATCACAAATGCATGAGACCCCAAATGCCTTTCTATGGTCGAGGGTGGGGAGATTCCACCTCTCCTTTCCAAATGCTCTCACGTGATCATGCGTATTTAACCACTGTCAAGGAAGTCCTACTCACTACCTTCTCGCAGAAGAGATGTTACTTACGTCATCAAGAGGATGAAAAGACAATGTTCAGTGCATAAACCAAGTTGGTGTATACGGAGGATCAACCTAGGGAAGTCGGAAAACCTTAATTTCAAACCAATGGTGCATATGGGCTCCAGGTTCCCGTGGAAACAAATGACACATGAACTTATTGTTGGTAACTAGTTATCATAAGGTCTCATCTCCCAACGTTGCTTCATTGTCCTGTAGACTAAAACTCTAGATCGAACGCTCGGGGGAGTAGCGCCATAAGAAAACCAACTGCTTCAGTTTGGGAGTCCTGAAAGTATCCCAATCCTCATACGAATTTTTCGTAGTATATACATATTTTGGTGAACCCTTGAACTAATTTTTAGGTATTTCAATAAATAAATAAGTCTATATGCTAGATCCTACTATCCATATGATCAATTAACTTTCATAGTGAATCAATTCATCAAACAAAGAAAACTACAATATGATCATTCGAAAAACAAATATCTTACCACTTGGATTGCCTACACTATGACATCGTTGACAATTTTCTGGTTTACGTACAATAGTATGTGTTAAATTAGAACTACCACTATAAGTTGATTTAACAATACATTGTGAATCCCCACCATCCGTAAAACCATTTGATTCAGAATTTAAATAGATGTGATTTTTTCCACTTAATCTTAGAATACATGAACGTATATTTATTCTATTTGTATCACATTCTAATTCCGTATCATGATCATCTAAAACTTTCATTGGTTTCATTCGTAATAATTGTGATGATAAAATATGACGATCTATATTCAATGGTTTTGAATGATTTGTATTCAATATTGAGTGTAGATTCACTGAAGCTGCAGATGAAGCACGTGGTGGTACAATACAATCATTTGGAATGATACCACGAAAAATTGTACTTGTCGCTGAAGCCAATGTAAATCGAGATGATGCAGAATTTGATGATTTTGAAGATGGTGTTCGAAGAGCTGACGTTATAACCCGACATTGTCCATCATTTGATTGAGTTTCTAATGTAGTTGCAGTTGTCGTTGTTGCCATTGTACTAGTAGTAGTGTTGTTTTTTCGATGTTGTTCACGAAATTGTTGATCTGCTCGTATAAGAGCAATTAAAATTAATTCTCTACGATCTTTGACGGCGGTTAATAAAGGTGTATCCAAATCACGACTACATATATTGACATCAGTTGTTTCGTGCTTCCAAATCAAAAGGATATTATAAAGAAACATATAATTAATCACAGAACTCATTTATAAGTTTGAAATTAGAAAACAATTAAAGTAATTGAGAAAAAAAACTATTGAAATAAATGAGGCTTCATGAAGAAATTTCGTTGAATACTTTACTGATGGTAATATCACTCATTTACACCAAGTACGTCCCCCAACTCTAGCTGAAATTTAAAATACTATAGTTAATCTGAAACGAGGAAGGGCAGCTGGTCCAGATGGATTGGCTCCAGAGGTCTTTAAGGATGGTGGTCCAATTTTAGCGACTAGGTTGACTAATGTTTTAGCTAAGATCTGGGAGTTAGACGTTATCCCATCTGACTGGTCACAATCACTTATCGTCCCAATATATAAGAGAGGGTTAAAACCATCCTGTGACAACCATAGAGGGATTAGTTTAACTAATATAGTATCGAAAATACTAGCCTCGATAATTATCGGACGCCTAACTAAGACTCGTGAACTGCAAACACAAGAGAATTGAAGTTGCCCGTTCGCATGCTAAGCGAGCGAGAGCCATAACAAAGCAATTTTGACACGTATGGAAGATGGCTGGGAAGCCAACTCCATTTTAGTCAAGCATTACTCAATATTTATAATCAGACAAATTAAAGGTACAGACATGTGATTAATGAAATAAGAAGTGCACACACATATACGCTCATATAAAAACAGTCTAGTTGATAAGCGAATAAATGACAAGGTCAAAATATGGCTCAAGTAAAATGAATAAAATAGGATGTCCGGAAGTTAGAATAAGGTATATGGGCTTGGCATGATAACTGACACTACATAGCCCCCTCGTAGAAAATAGCACATTTGAAAAAATGTCTGTTTTCGAAAATAACACTGAAGTGATATGAAGCTAACGTTAACAATAAGTAGCCAAAAAAAATTGTACAACACTCGATAAAGTACAGTGTCACATGAGGGGTGAGTGTATTATATGAAAATGTCATGCTTATGCAAAAAATACATGAATATCGCAAAGACGCGGACAAAAATGAAAATTTTAGCATGTGAATATGAGCAAATTAATGAGCGTACAAAAAATTAACATGTACCAATGCTGTGATTGTCTGAACGATAAAATAACACGTCTGTATGAGTGATTCAAAATATCGTGAAAATAGTAATAAATTGTTTGTGGGTATGACAGCCAAATAAATCGTGAAAATAAGTAAAGTAGAATATGACAGAAATTGGTCTGTGATGCTGACAGAATAGTGAAATATGCGAAATATATGTTCTGTTGAGCCGCAGCAGAATAAATAGCATCGACTAGTGATGAGTGAATTCAAATTTAAATGCGTAGTTCCCGTTCGTAGGATGATAATAGGCAAGTCGTGAAATGATATCTGCATCGACGGGTGATATTCGTTTTTGTACTGCAATTGATAATAATCATAAAATTTGAAGTCAGTGGACGTTGTCGTCTGCGTTATAACAGATGAATTGAGTTATCGTTAAATATGTATTAGTAGAAAAATGACCGGAGGAACAGAATAGTGACTGAGTAGACGAGGTACGTAGAGTCGAATTCCTTTTTGGTCATGAAGCCTAGAGTGGTTTGTATGGTTTGAGGGAGATGCGGTCGATCTCGTTTGCGACAAAACCGTACTAAGGCATGACAAAAATACTAATACATATGATTAGCGATGGCGACGTATGAGACTGACTTGGATGTGACGAACAAGAGTGTATCTTTGAGAGACTAGCTCTAAACTCTATGTTCTGATATACCGAGCGATGGGTATAGAATAGAATAGTAGTTGCAGTACTCGAATAGCGTTTTCCAGTGATAAGTGGTGCAGAATGTAGTTATGCACGTGGAAGAATAGATAAAATGAGCGTAATGGTTACTAGTCATCTAGTCAGAAGCATCCACAGACATAATAGGAGGTGATTTCGAAATGAAAAATGTATGTTGTGATAACATAAATTGCTGACCTCGACTAAGTGAATGAATGCAATATTAGTTCAAAATGACATGAAAAATTGGAACGAACTCACTTAAAGCAGGAAAATTTCACGTTTTTGAATAGTAAAAATATCCCAATGAGTTCTCACAAAGTGGAGTGGAATTTTCATAAAATGATAATTTGTTCGGTGAGTAATATGATTGCGAAAATGTCATGATTTAATGACAGCACGAACAAGATTAATAATTCCACATTCGGTCATGATATTGATAATAATGTAATAGTAAGCATATAATGATAATTTGAATCGTAACTGAACAGACCGACGAATGGATCAATGAGAATGGTTGACATGAGAACAAAGTACCGATAAGATAATACGACTTGGGCATGTCCATACCATGATGCACAGGCTTCGTTGATTGCGTCGGATTGGATATTGCGCTGGCTATCTCATCATCTTCTACATTTAACTATATCATAATTTACATCCACTACTTATCAATCATCTAATCTATCTTCCACCTCTTTAAACCACATAATATTCCAATATATCACTAAACCAAAAATCTTTTAATATTATTACTATCTCTTATACATAAAAACTCTACTAAAAACTCCCTAAATACCCAAACTTAAAAACCACCTACCAAACCATTCCAATTCCAAATTAAAACCAAACAAATACTACCTATCATCCTCACTCCCCCCCTCTCCCTCTCTCTTTTCTCTTTATTTTCCTCCCCCACCCAAAACTACCCTCCAAACACCAACAAACACCACCTACCCAAAACCTTACCCTCCCATATCAACCTTCCCACCTCCATATCCCCCCCCAATCCTCACACACCCCCCTAAATAATCACTCTTCCAAACATCCTTACCCCAAATTCACCTACCATCCACACAACTAATACTCTAATCCACCTACACTCACTTTTTTTTTTTCACCCCCCCCCCCCCCCCCCCAAGTGGGGAGGTTTTTAAGGCTTGGCATGATAACTGACACTACAGAATCAAGCTGGCTTCAGACCTGTTGGTGGCCACATCGACTACATATTCACCATTCATCAGGTTCTAGAACACAAGCGAACTACTTGGTTGGGATCCGCGCGACTATCGTAACCAATGGTTAGAGACTCTTGGTGACATGGTTCAGAATCGATCACAATAGCGTCGGTGTATACACTCCCTGTCTTCCCTTAAACTAAGAGATTAAAATCGCTTCATATCTTTCTTTCTACGAACTAACTCTTTCTTCCTGTACTATATCCTTATATGCAATCTTCCTTTTATATATTACCAACTCTGAATCAACTACTTTTATGAATCCGGTGTTCATCTTGTTCTGTTAATGAGGTATGACAATTTGAACCGATGCATATATGTGCCTTGTCCTACTTTATAGCTGACTGACTGACTCACGTACACTTAGCTTTAAGTGATACTTTTAAATATGAAGGTTAATCATATTACTAGGCTACTGAGACTAAAATAAACATTTCGGAGTACAAATCTGTGACTTACTGTCAGTCAGTCAGTCAGCTACAACGTAGGACCAGGCACATATGTGCATCGGTCCAGGTTGCCATACCTCATTAGCACAGCAAGATGAACAGCGGATTCATAGGAGTGGTTAGGTCAAAGGTTGCAATAAGGATATAGTATAGGAAGAAAGAATTAGTTCGTAGACAGAAAGAATGAAGTGATTTTAATCTTTTAGTTTAAGGGAAGACAGGAAGTGTATACACCGACGCCATTGTGATCGATTCTGGGTCATGTCACCAAGAGCCTCTAACCATTGATTACGATAGTCACGCGGACTCCAACCAAGTAGTTCGCATCTACCAACATGGCTCATACCAGAAGTCAGTGGCTTCAAGCACTGATGCTACGTTTTGGTTTGGCCGCCCCTAACTTCCTTCCAACCGTCTCCAACACTAGTCAGGATTGAGCGTCGTGGTAATCGGTGTTCAGGCATTGCTAACACGTGGCCCAACCATCTTAGTCGATGAAAATTCACAGTGTCATTAACTGATTTACCATCATTCCACATCATCATCACTCCACAAGACGAAACTAGTTAAAATGACAGGAGACAAGTTTATCTTTCTGAAGAACATAAAATTTAATAAAATCGAGTAGAGACCAAACTAGACGAATGTGTTATGTTCCACTGTTTGATATTCCTTAGAAATTTTAGTTTAATCGATTTTTATCAAGTCAAAACAAGAATTGAGAGTGAAATATATGCATGTATAAGTTACATAAACATCTAGTATTTTCTTAATTCGTCCATTCGTTCTAACTGGTTGAAAATGGAATAATCAGAGTATGACGATTTGAGCCAGGTAAGACCATGTAGTAAATAGGACTTTATTCCAGAAACAAACTCTTAGTCTATATATCTTAATCGACACTGAGCACTGAGTTCATTTACATAAAACAATAATAGTTGTTTAAAATACTGGATGTAGTCAATCTCATCTCATTATACTGAAATACAGATCTTTACTATCAGTCCATGTATGAACTATTTGCTTAAAAGCAAACAAAGACGCTGAGACCATTAACGCTCAATAAAATTCGCTACGATTATACAGCAGATCATTTATTTTTTGAAGTTCGTAAAGCTTATGATGTTTAGAAATATAAACAGAACTTCAAAACTGAAACATTTAGTTCACAAAACTCAGCATAATCAAGAGCATATTCCTGAGACACAGCTGCACCATTGCGAAAAATAGCTTACATCATATAACGGACTAGCTATACAACACTAAAGAACCAAGAAGCATTGAACAGCTTCCTGATAAGTACTCACGACCATGCTTCGGATGACTAACATTTATAGTCAGTCTATTCGTTACTACCACCAATTAAGTATTGGTAATACTTGTTTCACTCTCACAATGGTTTCAGCCTCTCATTAGAACTTTGAAATATAAATTCTCGCCAAGAGACGAACAACCCGTTACAAACTTTTCTTTCTAATACTAAAAGAATATTTGTCTATAAAAAATCCAGTACAGTAGGAGGAAAATACCATCAGAATGTAATGCTATAGACTTACTGCAACTAAAACTTCAACGATTTCAACTGATGCTCGATGTAACGGTGCAAGACCATCATCATCCAATGTATTTGGATTCACATGATATTTCAATAGAATTTTCGCAGTATCAACATAACGTTGAGCAGTTTGATGTGCCAGCAAATGTAAACAAGACTGTCTCCGTTCCGTAAGCGCTGATACAGATGCACCGGATCGTATGAGCAGTTCAGCAATATCTGCACGGCCATACAAACTTGCCTTTAAGGAAACAATTTGCGATATTCGAATGAAGAAACGATCATTGAAGTAAACAGTTTTTGAATAAAAAAAATGAGACACAATGAAGCTTTCTTAGTGTGACTTATTAGTCCAGCATAGGTTTTATATGCCCGGGATTTTGAGACACAATATTTTGTATTCGGTGGTTAACAATTCTATTCGGTCCTTTATATCAAGCTAAGTGAACGAGTAATCAAACACAGGATCAAGTGATTGATAATTGAGTGTTTTAATCATTAAGTCAATGTAAACTGAAAATCTTGGCATCTATTTTGCCTACGGATATACGCTGTATCTAACCTATATACACCTAATTTAATATTACACAAAAGCTTCGGTTGGTACAGATCTATAACACTTGAAGACCAGATTCACCAATAGACAATCAACTACTGCATATAACGTGGCACTACATGATATCACTCAATGACTGAGTTGACTAATAGCGAAGTCTCAGACTATGGTGTTGAACAATTGGAGATTGAATGTTTCTTCAAAGTTGTAGAATACCAACTAGCATTCGAATATGTACTTTAATTTCCCGATTAATTACTTCGAAAAGCTTTTATTACTTTTTCCGCTCGATTAAGTTGCGTGATCATGGAAATAATCCTTAGGTAAGATAACGAAAGTAGCCGTGTATATTGCCTGAAATTAAGACCAATATACATTTCTAGAGCCATTAAAATTTTTGTAGAACCAGCAGACCATGTACATCTCGTCATAATGCAAATATGGAATTGGAAAATTCAACTCTCTTACTTGATGAAGTGGGTATCGAGGAGCATCGGCAACATAAATATCTGCACCTGCTTTAATGAGTATTTTGACCATTTGTAAATAACCTAATTCGACCGCCAAATTGAGTGGACAAACTCCATCGATGACCATACTTGGATCTACACCATTAGGATAGCTGAAGAGATATTGAAGAGTACCAACATTATTGCTTCTTATAGCTCCACGTAGAAGCCAAGGAATCTGGGATTTGCTTATACGAGGCTTGTGACGCTTTTTAGAATACCTTGCGCCCATTAAAACTGAAAAAAGCACGAAAGTCTAAGAGATGATAAAATTCATTAAACCCAGTAAATTGAAATGAATAGGGATTACTGAATTGGTGATCAGACTATAAGTTATGGACGAACGAAAGAAATTAAAGGATTTAAGCCTTGGATTTTGTGGCGAAATTCACTCATCCATATCGTTAAATAGAATTGTGGCATAATAGCTGATGTCAGTTCATGATAAGAACCCTCACCTTAGTTTCCAACCTTAAGTTTTGACTCAAAATCCTGATATTTATTATTTAAACACAAATACTGGTAACCAAATATATATGTGCCATACTCCATTATTCGCTTTTCGTCATCTAAATTTCGTAAACAACAATCCCTTCGCGAGAAGGCAGTGAGTAGGAATTCCTTGATAGTGGTTATATACACGTAGTCACGTGAGAGCATTTCTACAGGAGAGATGACTCTCCCCACCCTCGACCGTACCAGGGCATTTGGGGCGACCTTGACGTGGTGGTCAGAATTGCCTATCGTGATGAGTCAATCGGGTTATACTGGCTGGAACAATCGTTTCTATAGGTCCTACCATGAAGGAAAAACGAATTCAATGTTTGTTTCTTCCATACACGTTTAAAATATTTTATTATTCTGCACTTATTTTTTCATCTAATTCTTCTCTGTGCATGTTTATTTTTTTCTAAGAGACGTGATGACTCACATCAGCGCATTTCTCAGTTAATTTCTAGTTTTTCTTGTGTACTTGCAACAGAATTCCATTGTTGTTGTTTTTTGGCTAACAGTAATTAACTCGTTATGAGGTCAATAATTTTATTAGTCATCTGCATATATATGACTGAAGAACATTTTTGCTGATAATGATTAGAATTATTCAGCGTTATATAAGTTTTAAAAGGGTTTTTTAACCTAATTGAGTCACTAACCACCTCATTATAGTTACTAGTTGTGAATTGTTTCATTTTATTTTATTACGAGAGTTCAGTTTGATTAATGTTAGTGCTTAGTTTTGTTTTAAATAGAGTACTCATGGTTCAATTGAGTGGCTTGATAAGGCTTCTGATTCTATTTTACCAACTTCGATATAACTGACTAAACTGGTCAGTTGGTAGTTAATGAAATTATAATGCAATTTTTTTCTAATTTTCTAACCTAACTTACACCAATTCACCCAAAATATATCTATCACTGAATCTGTTACATCAGCAGTTACAGAATCACCAATATTCTTGACGATTTTATTTCTTCTGTGACTTTCCCTTCACGGTTTACTATACAATCATTATGCGTATTATTTTATACTACCGTTTTCAGTGATTACTTTTAAAATATTAACTTTACTGCATTTGTCATCACAAATACTAGAGGCTCCTCCAACCATTCTTGCTACCTTGACATTGTGGTCGGGCTTGCCTATTGTTATGAACTAATCAAGCTATACTGGCTGAAACAATCATTCCTCAAGGTCCTACCCTGCCAGACAAGTCGGTTGAAGAACAGTAAGACTAAAAGCAGCAAACCCAAGATCCGAGGGTGAAGTCGTACTGCTGACTATACAGAGGTGTGACGGAAGTAAGGTGTCTCCTTTAGAAAGCCAGCACAACAGAGATATTGCCTTCCCACAAGGGGAGTGTGGAGTTGGAAAAGGTCGACCCTAAAAATGCACACCTCAACAAGTACGGAACCAACACAAAAATTACCCACAGGAAGGTCGTGTGTGACAGGCCTCAAGTAGTTGTCACTTGGGCACTGCGGTCGCGCTCGCAGGTCACTAAGACCAGACCTAACCCAATTTCCTTCTCAGACACCTATAGAAGGACCCTGCCATGGTGTGGGCAGCCGGAAAGTGACAACCACCCTCTAACAGCAGTCGAGACCACTGTATTCATAATCAGATTCATATCAATAAGGTTGTGAAGGCATAAAGAGAGTAAAGCGCGTATAATAACAAGGTTAGATTAGTGTATGAGAGTGAAATAAGCAGTTCACTTAGAAGTACAACCAGAATATTTTTCAGTCAAAGAAGTTACGTTCATTTTTTACGAAGAAATGTCAATCCATATTTCACGTACTAATTTTGCCACCCACTTTTGACACTAGTAATAAGGCTTTTTGCCTCAAGGTCACTTTAGCTTTGATTTAAGATCTTCCATAAATCATGGCTTCACCGAGTCTGTCAGAACGTAATACGCGATACAAATGTAAAAGAGACACTGCATATTATCACGGTGGGACGGATAGCCACAGTATTATGGATCACTTGGTGGATCATAAAATGAGTACAGGTTATATGGGTTCGGTTTGTACAGAACAGAACGGAGTAAATCGGTCTAGCCTATAACTGTGTGGCGCATATATATTGGCGCTCTCTTGTACCAATATTTATGTGTTCAAATAAATAAAATAAATACCCTATAACTAGTTCACCTGGAGGGTAACCGTTTTCCCGGCTTAAGTCTAGTAAATCAACAAACGATTCTTAATTCAGGGACACTTTGACGGTTTCGGCAGATCAAGAGAATCATAATGGCTCTAAACCGTAATGGCAACAAATTTGAATATGAAGCCTATAATATTTTGACATGCAGTTTTCGTTTGGAAAGATTACAACGCTATCCTGTAGAGTAATATACCTGACTAGTACACTTGGATGACTAAAATACTAACTAAAACTAGTTTGATGCACAGTTGTTGTGCACAATAGTTAGGGTTATTGTTAACAAAAGTGTGCTTATCCGAACCGTCTTCAGATCATACGTTCTTAAAGACTAACATACAAAAATCGCAAGAAAATATTTACGCAGCCAATAGATAGGTGGTTGACCGATTATTAGACTGTACAGAAAGCGACTGAAATGGGCCGCAAAATCCGGTTGACCAAATTGTATTGTAGTATGAAAAATAGGTAATTTGAGCAATTGAACACGGTTCTGCACTTAGTAGAGTGCGATTTGTCAGAAGTGTTCAAAACAATAACTTCGATACCATAAGCCTGCTCCACTTAAAACGAAACGTGGATAGCTTTTCAAAAATAGGAAAATATGATTTTAAACCGAAGGACGTACGGGATAATCAGCAGGCTACCACGCAAGAGATAACTTGTAATGATTGTAGAACATATAGAACGAACAGATAAAGTCAAGCGAAATTCGTAAATTATACTTACGCCCAGAAACTTAGAAGCCAACTTAGATTATAGCCATACTCCAGACATTGTAACGCAGTTGTCAAACTCACTGCGAACAATGCTGTCCATTCAATATTAGAAAATTCTATAAGAACAGAAAAACCACGTACACACCATAAATACTACAGACTCAATCTCACCTTGAATTCACTGACGTATGACTCTGACGTTACGTGTTCTGGTGGGCAATTTAAGCGATGTATGACTACTTAAAATAAATATAAATCCAGATAAAAATGATATGATTTTGGTTCTGAATACTTTGAGCTCACAGTTGAACCTTTAAAATTACGCCGGACTTCAGTCTAGCACTAATTTCATTCTAAACGTTATCTTATAACTAAAGAGTTGTCAGATACCAATTTTCTGTGGTATGAGTTATTGTTACTCACTTCTAAACGCTGTAATCTTGCTACTGGAAGCCTGCTTAGGTCAGTGATATTGTCCAATGGGGGTAGTGTAAAGTTGAAATATTGAGAGCTTATAATCTTCAAATGGTACGTGAATTTATTTGCTCCAGGGTCCTCAGGGTTACTAGAACCATCAACTATCACCACAAGACTCAAAATACACGTAGATATGGGCAGGCAAATGTGAATAATAGTTTGTGGAACCAGAAAACCCAACAGTATAAGAATGTAGGTATTGCTAGACATGTGGAGTGTGAATCAATAAGTATAGCAGAGACTTGTCCTTTGTATTTTATTTCGGTAAAGTACCAACTGGATGAGTCAATGGTCTATGTTTCACACCAAGTTCACCAGCACCAACAGATGTCTCTGGAGTATCTGTGAATTCAATTATCTGACTTAATGAACATAAAGTAAACTTTACGGAAAATTTCACTCGCATTCATAAGCCTGGTTTTCAACACCACTGATTATTCTGGAGGTAACGCAAGCTGACCTGAATCGTCAAGCACCTCTTCTATTCCTATTTTGGAAAAAAAAGAAGGATCAACTTTATTCTAGGCTTTTGACTAGTATTTAGAATCTAAAGGACGTGGATGTGGTTTAACGTCTAACTGTTGGGAGACATTCACGCACTGTCTTAAAATAATTAAGTACATGTGAGGAATTATGGTCTGCTTTGATATCAGTACTGCTCCAACAATAGACCTTATCCTAAAACTGCATTTCTATAAGATCTTACGTGGAAGTCACATCATTGTCTACCCTGATTCATTGCGTTGTAACAATCATCAACATGTGAGGAACACCCTTAGATTAGAGATAAGAATGTTTGTTTAATATGGATGAAAATAATGTTACATAAGACCACGCCTGCAAGGCCGAGTGATACAATTCGATCAACTCCAGTTATTTCAATTCATTCCCCCCGTCATCTTCATCGTTGGATTTTTCCCCATGTTAAATGTTGAATGTCTATTTCCCACATTGTCTCGCATTAGGGTCCAATGCCACTACACATACATTCACATATCAATGACCTCCTGTGTCTGAGTTCCTGTCTTCCTAACGCACACTGATAAATATCAGTATGAGTTGTGAATATTGTTCAGTTTTGATTGAGTTCATGAATCGTTTGATTTTGGACCACCATTGAAAACATGAAATCACTCAACGGCCGTTTCGTCTTAGTATAGGACTCCTCACTAGTGCATATCCAGGATCCCGCTTGCGAGATTCAAACCCAGGGCCTTAGATTTCGCGCTCGGACGCCTAACCTCTGGACAACTTAGCCATCATCTAACGGTGTGTGATAGCTCGAAATATTTGAACTACAGTACAAAATATGAATCCCGAAAATAGCGCAGTATAACCAAGAAGAATTATGTGGTCACGAACGAACGTATTGTATTTGGAATTCAAAATCAAGCAGTCATAAAGTACAACAGAATCATTAATTCATACAAAAATCACACGGCGGTAATATCTAACTTCAATTGATTCACGAAATCGCACGAACTTCTTCCATTGTCTGAGGTTGATACCTGCCTCTAACTGACATAGGTTCGACTCCCGCGAGTGGAATAATGGATGCGCACTGCTGAGGAGGAACATGCTAGGAAAAAATGACTATCCTGCGATTCCAGGCTTTCGACGGCGGTGTAGTATCAGTCGGATCATGATCAAAATTTTGTTCTTTCAATCAAATTACAGAAACAAACTTATTGCAATCTTTAAATGTTTGCATGATCAAGAGTCTAGAAGGAAACACATTAAGTGAAGGATTGTAATGGGAATAGAATTTCTAGGTAAGAAACTAGTTAAATTAAGTAAACAGAAATGATGTAACGAATATATCAAAATTCAGCTGAAGCAGTGACTTCTACATTGATAAATATGATAAATGAAACTCCTTAAGTTTTTCCAGCACCACTGATCCAGACGCCACCTGATCCGTACCTCTACGTATGGGAGATATTGAAGTAGTGTGTTGTAAGTGATATTCATATGACTGAGCTCTTTATGAACCGCCAATGTCTCAAAACTCGCCTAGAACTAAAGCTCCTATGTTTGTACCTTAACCTCGTGCCATAATTCAATACGGATGTTAGGGTTCCAACGCAGTTTATAAAAATGTTTGCCTTGAAATCCAGATATCTTTTACATTTATCAATACAATAACTAAGGCTGATTTGTTTACTACAACAAGTTAGGATACACAATGATCAATGCTCATAATATATTTAACTGGATTCGGAAATATGTATATTATGAGGATTGATTGTGATCTACCATATTTGATAATAACAGTTGTTAAATACTTGTATCTTAATTGTTGGATTCATTTCATATTGCATGAAAGTTACACCATGTATGAAGTTTCAAATTTGACTCACCTCACCCTGATGGGCTTCCTACCCTAATTACCTAGTGTTCGTAAATGGCAGAGTAATATCACATACTAGATGGAACAGACTAGAGAAAAGAAGAGTATGGATACCCTACCTCATGAACTGATTTATATCGTCGATTGATCAGTACATGTTGGCCATCCTTAACCCTGACAAAACTCGGCCAACAACTTAATATCTGTTATTCAAACTTACAATTTAGCTATGGTCTGATTTGATGAGTGATTTAGCTAGAGTTCAGTGATGCATTTCGGAACCTTCACGCTCTTTGCACTGATTGTGAGACACTGAAATAAAATGTTCGTTGGTTTTCTGAAGATAATTTTAATATTAGAGCGATAGTGGCTTGAAGAACTATCGTTTAACAGTTGGTATTTAACAGTTGTTTCACTATAGGTTGTGGACCTACGGTCATAACGATCCATTGACTGTCCTGATTGATCTTGTGTTTATATGAACAATCGAATGGAGCGGGAAATATGAACTACAGGATAGCTAACTAGTATTTTTAAGGTATCGTGATCGCCACAAGTCTTGATTATGATGAATTGGATTACATACGTTTTCATGCTTTTTATTGAATTTCGGACTGATACTAATCCGAGAGCACCTCTTAGACTACTGCCAGTCCCAAGCCAGGATAAGGCAAGAAGATTAGGCATGAGGTAAGCGACCCCATCTCGTTAAAAACTAACTTGCAAAAAACGCTAACGTGAAAGAATAATTCACACCATTTGAATTCGGCCCTGTGATATAGAAGTTCTGAAACATGTGGAACTCAAAACTACAATACGTCAACCAACACGAAGGGCAGAATTCTCGATACAAATCTCAAAACCGTTCCGCTGCATAGATCTGAAACGTGGGGAACTACGAAATCCATCATCCAGAAGAAAAAGCGTTTATTAACAGCCGCCTGAGTAAAATACTTCGAATCCGTTGGCCAGACATTATCAACAACAAGCCGCTATGAGAGAGACCAAAACAGATTCCAGTGGAGGAAGAAATCCGGTAGAAGCACTGGAAGTGGCTTGGACACATATAAAGGGAAGCAATCAACTGTGTCACAAGGCAATCTCTCATCATCTGGAATCCTGAAGGCCGAAGGAGGAGACGAAGATGAAGGAACACATTACGCTAAGAAATGGAAACAGACGTGAGGAGAATGATCAACAATTGGATAGAACTAGAAAGGAAGGCCCAGGATAGAGTGGGTTGGAGAATGTTGGTCAGTGGCCTATACTCCATTGGTGGTAATAAGCGTAAGTAAATAAAATAACTAGTCAGTGACTAAAATGTTTTCCAGACCAACTTCACCATCACATATCATCTAATTGTTTCGCTACTATTTTTAATTAAATTACTGGAATGTTGTTAAAAAATTTCTCATCTATATAAAACAAACTGCTAAGTATCTTATTCAGAATTCAATTTTTCATTTCAACCTTATAAAATCCACAACATTCGATAGTATTCATTTTGGTTCTTTTAAAGGATATATATTAGCTTAGTCTTAATAAGGATCAAGAGTCAAATCTGGATTTGACTACTGTTCATACAAATCTTGAACATCAACTACAATGAGAGAATATAAACTCTCAACAATGAGATAATTATTCACTTATTTTAAGTATAATAAGAAGGTAAATTATAATGAAATGAAATGTAGCTTTACAATAAACTCGTAGTATATTGCATTGTTAATACATTTTTACATTGAATAATGAACTATCTAGTTTAAATAAAATAGGAATGTGTTTATTTTAAGTTAACTACTATCTTTCCGGGCGAATTAAACCGATTAGGAATGTTTTTTACGCCAATCAATTGATAAAATCATTTGTATAAATGAACAGATGCTTGTAACTTTATCAATCTAAATAAGAAAATAAAAAGTGAATGACAATAATCATCATAACAATTCTCAAGAATAGATTGTAGTGACCTACTTTTGCAAAGAGAACGCGATTGGTGTAATGGAAGCAATTATTATTATAACCAATCGTACCAGTGATTGTTTTACTGTACTTGTTTGTTTAACTGTACTAAAGACATCCATTATTCTCCTTTGTTTCTTCTGTTGGTTGTGACCTTGCACGAACTTACGTTTGCTCAGTTAATCCGCTTGTACTCCTTTGGTACGATCTCGGTATTCTTTCGATACCACGAGATCACCAACAAACATACTTAGCTACAACCTTCAATTGCCTCCTGATATTTGGTACGCAACCTTCCTGTA